CCCCCCCCCCTGCTCGCGCAGAAAACGCATCTGAGGGGGTCTAATTTCAAAAATTCCCTGGGGGAGAGCACCCCAGACCCCCCCCCCTTCGCGTGCTCCTGTACACGCCCCTGGTTTCGCCCCCTAAGTAAATACCCTGGCGCCGCCCCTGGCTGCAACTGTTATCTTATAAGGGAGCAAACAAGTTTAAATGCTTAATTTATACGCAGGGACATTTCAACTATTTTAACTAGGTATAGAATTTGGTCCCGCAAATGAATATACCTTGGTGATAGTTTCTTGGCGCAGACAAGCACTTCTTTCTCCTTCAGCTTCAAGTTGTTCAGACTCAGTATCCAGTTCGTTCTATATGTGTATCATTTTTATTACTTACCATATTGATATTGTAATTGTGTTTTATATTGACATGGACATTGTGAAAGTTAAAAACGTATACGTCTAAATTGAGTAAATACTATCTATACACGGATAATAATAGTAATAGTACAGCTAACGCAACATGCAGGTTGAGGCAGCACAGATTATATAATCATGGCATGTTGACTTGGTGAACGTACCTGTATTTCTTCTAATACACTGAAATCAATGTTACAAGATGCCATTTGAGTGTTGATAATAATAATAGAATCAAGAGAAAATCATACATATAATAAAGAAGGTATGTTATGCTTTGCTTTGAATGTAATCTTCTGCAGTGAAGACTGTTTTCAGTGGCGAATTAACGTGGCCTGATCGTACCGAAAGTTTCCTGTACTACGTTGTGCTGCCGCCTGCGAATTTACAATTCCCAAACAGGATTGCCATAGCAAATATTCCTAGCCTTCTGATTGGTCAATCGCAGTTAGTATAGAAAATATTTCTAGCCTTCTGATTCGCTTTCCTCCATCACGTGTACTACTTATACATTCATCATGGAAGCCTCCATGAAATGTCCGTATGATTCGCGAGCTGTCCCAGTTGCTCAATTTCCTGAACTATATGTAAGTGTTTTGATTATGATTATGATTATGATTATGATTATGTTTATGATTATTATGATGACGTTTATGATTATGACAACGGATAACAACCAGGTATAGCTGTCAAGTCTATTGCTAGTGTTGCTATACATAATACAGTCTGCTATGCTGTCAAGTCTATTGCTAGTCTTAAACCGACCAGGCTCTCCGACTAGTTACACGCTTAGTTACACAATAGTTACTAGTTGCCACGTAGTGTTAAGCGAGATGGGAACTTGTGGCTATTGCTAGTCTATGCTATTGGCATTGCTATAGTCTATAATATGCTGAGCTCTAAGAAACGGTATTGCTAGGGTTAGAATACGTGTATATTGACGTTAGTCACACAGCCTCGTCGGGTTATACTACTACTAGTCTATGCTATTGCTATAGTCTATACTATGCTATATATGCTATAGTCAAGTCTATTGCTATGCTAAGTCTATTTATATGGCAAGCTATTGTCAGTGTCATAACGAGTGGGCCTAAAATGTCACATAGTTTATTTAGTATTCTGAGTGTAGAATACTTGACTTAGGCCTATTGTATAGGCCATAGCCGTTCTCAGCTCGTCAACAGCGCCACACTGTGTTGAAACCTCACACTTTTGTACTTGGCGGCA